GGAACGTGCATTTGTAATGTCAATGGACAATCACTAAAATGCCCTCCAAAGTATTTGCTTATTTTACAATTCACCAGTAATGTCTGTCAGATTATCATCATCAGGGATTTTAAGATATTTTTTACTTGGCCTTTTTTTGTCATTCCAAGTAATAAATGTTCACTGTTAGAAGTTTGGAAAATACAGGAAAGTGTGAAAAAGAAAGTAAAAACGTTTTTAAACTTAGATTAATGTAACCATTCTGTATTTATCTCTCAGTATTATTTCTGTGTATATTTAATATCTGTTTATACATACATAATTTTAGAAATATCCTACTTTTGTTGTTACCTGATTTTTTTTTTAAGATTTTATTTATTTATTTGATAGAGAGAGAGCATGAGAGGAGAGAGGTCAGCAGGAGAAGCAGAATCCCTGCTGATCAGGGAACCCGATGTGGGACTTGATCCCGGGGCTCCAGGATCGTGACCCGAGCTAAAGGCAGTTGCTTAACCAACTGAGCCACCCAGGTGCCCATCTGATTTTTTTTTAACAGCTTTACTGAGGTGTAGCTTACATATCATAGAATTTGGTCATCTTAAATGTACAATTCAGTGATTTTTAGTAAATTTATGATGTTATACACTCTTAGAGTAACCCACCTTTAGACCATTTCTGTCACCCATAAAGATCCCTTGCACTCATTTGCAGTTGATTTGTTGCCATGTTATTGAATATTTTTTCAGCAAATATTTATTGAGTGTCTACTATGTGCCAGGCGGTAAGCTGCATGCTAGTTAATAAAACAGATGAAAATCCTTGCCTTCAGGGGCTCGGATTTTGTAGCGCTTGCTTTGTATGCTTCCTTAACGTCAGTTTAAATAATGACATAGTATTCAGTATATAGGTGTGCTATCCTTTAATAATTTCCAAGAAGGTGGACATTTTGATTGTTTTCATTGTTTTGCTATTGTAATTGGATATACCAATGGATAAGTTCTTGTGCCTACATCCGGGATAGAGAGTGCTGAGTCAAGAGAAGTGCCCATCGCAAGGCTTTGTTACACTTGCCTACCAGAAGCATACAAGATCGCCGCAGTCCTGATAGCACTGCCAGGCGGGTTTAAATCTTGCCAACTGGAGAAAGAATTGTGTCTTGTGTTAAGTTTTATTTGTTTGTTTATTGATGTTGTTAAGCACTTTATCTGTGCTTCAAGACTATTTTAATTTTTTTTTTTTTGAAGCATCTGTTCATAGTCTTTGCCCATTTTTCAATTGTTAAATTTGCTTTTATTTGTAAGAGTTTTCTACTTCTTCACCATATATGTCATATTTTTCATAATTTGTCTCTTGTCATTTGCTTTTGGTCAGAAGCCGTTTTTTAGATGTATAAAAGTTCTTCTGTGGTTAAATCTCTGTTTTTTTTCTCGGTGTCTGACTTTTTGTGCATAGTAAGACCTTCTCTAGAAGTTCTTATGGGGGGATATGTGGTGAAGAAGAGATCTAACTTTATTATTATATATTCACATTATCCAAGAAGCATCTATTTCAAAAATTCTTCCTTTTTCACTGATTGGAAATGGCCCGTAGGGCCCATCTGGACTGACTCTCACTTATTACCTTGACAGCCATGTCCTTGACAACCTTTGTCCTTCCCCTTGTTCCTTCCCCTAACTGTACCACAATTCTCTAACGCCTTTTTCCTTCCTGCTCAGGCTCTCGTCTCTTTATGTGTGTCATTCCTTCTATCTGTAGCACCTCCCCGCTCCCTTTACAAAAGATCTTCTAGCCCTTATCATAGTTTGTAACAAGAGAATTCAAGCTTACCTGGACCCCTCGTGCCTGGCGTGGAGAAGACAGTACACAGAGTAAATGAATTCTAGCGTGATCATACATTTTGACATCTATATCTTCAGCTGGGTTTTTTTGTGGTTGTTTTGTTTTCCTAAAATGCCTTAGTATTTATTCTTCTAGATCTACGCTGTCCACAATGTGGTAGCCACTGGCCACATAGGGCTATTGAACACTTAAAATGTGGTTATTCCAAATTGAGATGTGCTGTAAGTGTAAAATACACATCAGATTTCAGAGAGTTAGTATGAAAAAAAGAATGTGAAAGGTCTCACTAATAACTTTCTAACATTGATTATATGTTGGTGCTTTAACTGGGTTAAGTAATATATATACAAAATTTTAACATTTTTATTGTTAATGGAACCGCTAGGAAACACCACACGTGTTTGTGAAATTGCTAAGGAAGTACTTCATTGGGCTGTTTTATAGTCATAAATCAGTCTTGGGTGAAAGTGTCTATAGTGTGGACTCCTTTAGAAGCGTCATGTGTGTCTTCATTTATATGTTTTTGTCCTTATTAAAGTGTTTCAGTTTCTTCTTGCAGAGCCTATCTTTTGTTTATCCCCCAGGTAGTTCATAGTTTCTGTTACTGTTGACGGCTCTGACTTGTCATTATCTTACCTAACTGGTTTTTTTATGTACAATAATTTTTATGAAATGCTTCATTTGCTAGTTCCTGCTTCTAAACAGATTTGTTCCAGTGATTTCCTTGTGTTTTCTGTGTAAATAGTCCTGTCTGCCTTGAATAGTAATTTTACCTCTTCTTTTCTAATGGCTCTGTGCCTTCATTTTTCTCTTGTCTGTGGCTTTGGCTGAAACTTCCAGAGCAGCGTTAAGTAAGAGAAGTGATGGGCAGACAACCTTGTATCCTCCCAGGGACTAAGGGGAATGCCTCTACGAACGTGTTTACAAGAGTGTGTACCAGGGCACACTAATTCTTGGGCATATATATATATCTACCTTGAGAGAAGAGTTACACGCTTAACTGAGTGTGCAAACGGCTGAGTTAAATAGAATTCTTGTCTGGAGGACTTTTCAGATGGGTTAATATGTTAATATATTGTTCAGCCCCTAAGAGGTGGGGATATTCAGTGCACACATGGGCTTGTGTGCTACTAAGTACATTTTGGGAACCACGGATAGGATGTTTCCTTGCTAAGGATGGTATTGCCATCGGCTTTGCAGTAGGTACTGTTTATTACATTAAGAAAATACCCTCTTCCTTTTTTTCCCCCTTACTTTGAAAAGGCATTTAATTTTCTAAAATCCACGGCTAGCATAGTTTTGATTTGGCCATATGGTTTTTCTCCTTTGACTTACTGATGTGGCAGATTACATTTATACATTTTCCAACATGCGTCCATCCTTACATTTGGTCACAATATATTATTATTTTAATAGGTTATGTTTCCAAGTATTTCCTTGAGGACTTTACAATCTGTTTACTAGGTAAAGTTGACAGTCGTCTCTCTTTATGCTGTTTGCCATCTTCTGGTATTCAGATGTATGCCATATAAATTGAGATGCTTTAATTTTTTTTTTTTTTTTTTTGGAGATGCCTTAAATGTTTCAACATGCATCTAAAACAGTGTGAACGGCCTGAAGATCATTTATGCTTTGGCACTTCTGTTTCTTTTTATTTAATTCTGCCAATTTATGTTACTCTAAAAATATGTCTGTTCCATACAGATTTCAAATTGATTTCAATCATAAATCTAGGATAAATAAGAGCACAGTGTTCCTCCTTAACTAAAATGTTTTAATTCGGATTCTGACATAATAAAAAAATTGTGGTGTGATCTAGCCACACTAACTGGTCGGTCCTTTCCTGCAGGTGTCAGATTTAATTGCACATTGTTGTATCTTATAATTTTAAAAAAATTTCTCTGCGGTTATATGCTGTTCTGTATTCATTACTTTTTTTGCTTTCTTTGGGTTTAGTTGGTTTCTTTTCTGACCTCTTTGGTGAGTCCATTTATTTTTCTTCTTTGTTGTTTAATGACAAAAACTTTTAAGGCACTGACTTTAAAATTTGTTGTTTCAAAATCCTCAACATTTCATTTTGAAAAATTTCAAATATACAAAAAAGGTGGATTTACAGAAAACACCTGTATACACCCACCATCTACACTCTACGCTTGTTAACACATTTCTGTGTTTGCTTTATCACCTCTCTGTCCATCTCTATTTTTGGATGCATTCTCAAGTAAGTTGAAGACATACGTAAACTTAAACTTTACTCCTAAAGCTCTCTTGCTGCAGATTTGATGTGAGTTTTCTTTTTTCTGAATAGTTTTATTCCTTTTTGATTTTCTTCTTGATTCAGTGCTTATTCAGAAGGTGCTTAAATTTCATTTGGTTGGATTTTAACCACTGAAATATAATTGTTAGATCTGATTGCATTGGTTCTGGTCAGAGCGCAGCCGGGCTGTATCCACTTTTGTAGTTGTGAGCGATTCGGTGCATTGGGTTCTTGGCAGGGGCAGCCAGCCTGTCCAAGGTGTGCGTATGCTGTGAGCACTGGTGGGCATTGATATGCTTGTGATATGTCCATCGCTCTTGGTGTTTGCCCTGTCTAAAGCTCTTCACTGAAAAGGTCAGTTACCAACCCAAAAGGATAATAAGGTGTGCAGAACTGAAGGGGGGAAAAGTGAACATCAAGACCACTCAGATTCTAAACTAAAAAGTGTTTAGCTCTGTTCAGTGTATCCCATGTGCTGTCTGCCTGGAAAACACCAATTGGAAACATACAAATAAAGCAGAACAGTTTTCAGATGAGTGTGCATTTTTTTTTTTTTTTACGAAGTATTCCAAATCCTCAGAAGTAGGTAAAACAGGGAAATATTTTTCCTAAAAGGATACCAAATTCTCAATCAGCTGCAAAGGCCCTACTGTCTATAACATGTTATAATTTCGATGAAGATGAATATTAGGCATTTGGGGCACTAGGCTGATTGATCTTTAGGTTATCTGACTTTCGGTGAATTGACCAAGACGTGAGAGACTGAAAGTAAGTAAGAGGAAGAATGCCCAGGTCGACCCTCCGAGGCACAGTGGCCGCAGTGGTGGTGGTGATGGTGGTGGTGTGATTTTCGCAAGCTTGTGTTGATGCCGCTTGTGCTTAGTGAGGAGTCACTGGTGAATTATGAAACTCTCTCTTTCTGCAGATTACGCTTCATGTCAGTAGAAATGGACAGCAGCAGTTTTATTCAGTTTGATGTGCCCGAGTACAGCAGCACTGTTCTGAGCCAGCTAAACGAACTCCGCCTGCAAGGGAAACTATGTGACATCATTGTCCACATTCAGGGTCAGCCATTCCGAGCCCACAAAGCAGTCCTCGCTGCCAGCTCCCCCTATTTCCGGGACCATTCAGCATTAAGTACCATGAGTGGCTTGTCAATATCCGTGATTAAAAATCCCAATGTGTTTGAGCAGTTGCTTTCATTTTGTTACACTGGAAGAATGTCCTTGCAGCTGAAGGATGTTGTCAGCTTTCTGACGGCAGCCAGCTTTCTTCAGATGCAGTGTGTCATTGACAAGTGCACGCAGATCCTGGAGAGCATCCATTCAAAGATCAGCGTTGGAGACGTTGACTCCGTGACTGTCGGCACCGAGGAGACAACAGAGAGTCGGAATGGAGTCAAGGACAGCAGCTTCTTTGCCAATCCCGTCGAGATCTCCCCTCCGTATTGCGCTCAGGTTCGGCAGCCCACCACGAGCAGCGATCTTCGGATGGAGACGACACCCAACAAAGCTTTGCGCAGCCGCTTACAGGAGGAAGGGCACTCAGACCGAGGGAGCAGCGGGAGCGTTTCCGAGTACGAGATCCAGATAGAGGGGGACCATGAGCAAGGGGACCTGCTGGTGAGGGAGAGCCAGATCACTGAGGTGAAGGTGAAGGTGGAGAAGTCCGACCGGCCCAGCTGTTCCGACAGCTCCTCCCTGGGGGACGACGGGTACCACACGGAGATGGTGGACGGGGAGCAGGTTGTGGCCGTGAACGTGGGGTCCTACGGCTCCGTGCTCCAGCACGCCTATTCCTATTCCCAAGCCGCCTCGCAGCCGCCCAGCGTCTCCGAAGCTTTTGGAAGTTTGAGTAATTCCAGCCCGTCCAGGTCCATGCTGAGCTGTTTTCGAGGAGGGCGCGCTCGCCAAAAGCGAGCTTTGTCCGTCCACCTGCACAGCGATCTGCAGGGCTTGGTGCAGGGTTCTGATAGCGAAGCAATGATGAATAACCCCGGGTATGAGAGCAGCCCCCGGGAGAGGAGTGCAAGAGGACACTGGTACCCGTACAATGAGAGGCTGATCTGTATTTACTGCGGGAAGTCCTTCAACCAGAAAGGAAGCCTGGACAGGCACATGCGGCTCCACATGGGAATCACCCCCTTTGTGTGCAAGTTCTGCGGGAAGAAGTACACACGCAAGGACCAGCTGGAGTACCACATCCGGGGCCACACCGACGACAAACCGTTCCGCTGTGAGATCTGCGGCAAGTGCTTTCCATTCCAAGGTACCCTCAACCAGCACCTGCGGAAAAACCACCCTGGCGTCGCCGAAGTCAGGAGTCGCATTGAGTCCCCCGAGAGAACAGATGTGTACGTGGAACAGAAACTAGAAAATGACGCATCGGCCTCCGAGATGGCCCTAGATTCCCGGATGGAAATTCACACAGTGTCTGATGCTCCTGATTAAGATGGTAACGAAGTGCGCCCAAACAAAGCACATTAATCAATGCATATTTGTGATTTGCTTTGTTGTAATCTTTGGTTTTCCCAACCATCTGGAAATCTCTCAGTCTCTTGGCAGTTTTTCTAAGGTTTCTGGAAGGAACACTTCATTGTGTTTATCCTTTCCCCCGCCCTCCCTCTCCCAAGGAGCTCAAAGCATGAAGGGCAACGTATCCAGGGAAAACACAGGCTGACAGTATTCCTCTTTGGCTGAACTCTTAATCCCAAATCTGCCAGTGATTTAGCTATGCCAACTGGTTGACCCTACATTCTCTGCCAAGAGGCATGCTCTCTCGTTGTGTGCACTGGCACCGGTGCATTTCCACGGGGAGAGACCAGGATGCCGTCAGCTGTTACAAATGGGTAACCTTTTCTAATTTAAAATTACTTTTAGGGGGTAGTTAGACAATTTATATATATATATAATAAAGTGATTATTATATATATAGTATATATACATTCTCAAATTTGATTTTATTCTGGTTGAGGTGAATGTAAGAGGAATATATAATTTAATACAATGTGAACAGGGCTTTTGACCCTGTCTCGTTCCCTACCCAATGTTAGGGTTTTGCCCCTTTATTTCCCTTACAAAAGAATGTTAATAGGTTTTCATATATATTAATCATCGTGTCCAAAAGCAAGCAAAGCAAATCACAGTGTTCCTAGCTCTGCTTCATGACAAGTACATAAACCAAATGCCGTAAAATGTATTCAACTCTAGTTGGAAACCGTTTTGGAATTTTTGTTCGTTGTCCAGTAGGTAAGCTGGATGACCCGTGGTGCTGACCTTTTTACATATTGTAGTGTTATATTAGCCAACCCCAAAGGAGCAGTGGTTTTCAATGTTTTTACTGGCCTACGAATCTACCTTCATTCCGTACTGTAGAAACATACATACCAGGTAACTAAATCGAATCACTCTACCATGAGTTACTACTCGCACTAAAGGAAAGGGATTTGTAGTTCTGTCTACAAAATTTTCCAAGCAGTGTTGTGGGTTGTTTCTTCCTTCCTTTCTTTCTTTTTTTTTTTTCCTCTTTCTCTCTCTCTCTCTCTCTCTCTCTCTTTTTTCAAACAGCTAGTTCAGGTGCACAGCAACTTTTTCTACATGCAGTTCCCAGGGAAACTGCAGAACTTGGAATTTGTACTTTTTGTAAAGATATACTCTATGGGAATTGCAAGCAATATATCTATCTTAGTATCGTGTGTGCTAACGAGAGCCTCAGTGGCTCCCCCACTCTCAGTGTTTCCTGCTTAAAGAAACCAACAGTCAAAAAGCCCTCTAAGATACTCTGTGTGTCACCAAATCTGTGTGTGTCACCATTTTTTTGGTCACGTGGTGCTATTTTTATGTTCTGTATCTTTTAGGTCAGTATAGTTGTAGAAAATGTGAAATCTAATGGTAATAGTGAATTACAGGTTTTGTTTTGGTTTTTTTTTTTTCCTCTCTTGAGTTTATAGCTTGAAAAGAGACCTCAAAAGCATGTGCTGGCAAACACATTACTGTATGAAAACATACCTGAGTCCTATTTGAATACTTGTTTTCTTGATGCTTTAGGAAGTGTCTTGGGTTCTATATTTTGTTTACCCGTGTGCTTGTAGTGAACAAAACGGGCTTTACCAGATGGCTTCGGTACTGTGTTCTCCGACAGAGGAATTCCGTTGGCAGGTGGATGGGGCGTTTGGGCCGCGGGCTGCCCGTGGGGTGTCGGCGCCCCAGACTCTGCTGGAGGACCTTGGCTCTGAGACTCACAGCCAGTGTGTCTCTACAGGAGAACAGCACGAACCACCTAAAAGAAACACAGACGTGAAAAAAGACCAACCTCAGAGGCTAGGAGTTAAAAGGAATACAAAAATAGACGTTTGCTGGTTTTCTGTGCTTTTTTGGCTCTTACAATACCAAGAAGGGGTGGGGGGGTGGTGCTGGGAGGGCCACGGGGTTTTTGGGAGAGGTTTTCGTTTTGTTTGATGTTCTGTTATTTTGAGACAAGAAAATCGTTGAGGCCCTTGTGTGTGACAACCCCCGGGGGGTGGTAGCCGTGCGGTAGCATCTCTGTAGCACACGGGAGCCTTGTGTTCGCGTGTGAACTGCTGCGCTCCACATCAGTGTTACTACGGACAGATTACACTCTAATCCTGCTGCTCCCGACGAGCAGCTCTTGCTAAATCGGGTATATAGTGTATGCCTTTTCCTGTCAAACTGCCTAAGTAAGGGGTGCGTTCTCTCCCTGAAGCACTTGCTCAACTCCTGTCAAAGCCGCGTGCCTCAAGGGGAGGCTGGACCCCCAGTGTTTACCCACTTAAATATGTTCTGGGGTTTCAGGTAAATGTTTGTGATTTTTTTTTTCCCCTTACCTGAGTAAGTTTGCTTTTGATTTTTCTTTTTTAAGAATTAAATGCAAAAAATTTGTGTGGTGATACAAATTAAGTTCGTGACAAGAAATGCCCAAATCAAGGATGAGAGGTCAGGCTCAGGGAAGGAACCTCCTTTTCACTCAGGCTTGGGGCCTTCTGAGAGGTCTCCAGAGCATTCCGTGATAGATGAGACAAGTCAGGAGGGGAGAGCACTTGGGGCAGGTACCTCGAATAGCCTCGTTCTTGTCACTGTGTCCGTCTTAACCTTGTTTAAATGGAGTTCTTTGTATTTGTCAATTTGTTTAACTGGTTTGAGTTTACCAAAGAGTGACTTATCCAAAATTGTCTTTGACAAAACTATACATTGCTTTGATTGTACAGTTCAGGTTCAAACATTGTAATGGGACTGTTGAGGGGCAGAAAAATTGATTTGAGTTTCTAATAACCATGAGTCCACATTTTGCAAGTTCCACTTGCCTCCCATTCATGTTGCTAACACTTTACCCTTTCCACTGCTAGCAGTGTTAAGAATGAATTCTCAAGCCATAACCCAGTACTGTAAGGTTCCACAGGGCTTCGAGGAGGCAGCACGTAGGCCAGCGCAGAGCTGGGCAGCCTCTCTGGGCGAGCACGCCATCGTGCTTCTCAGTGTGCGTGGCGGGTGAAAGGTTAACTCCATTCAGATCGGGCAGCAGCAATGAATTGTGCCTTGTCACATGAGGATTGTGCCAGGAGGATGACCATGGCCACAGAACAGAAACATTCTCTCCCCGAAGGTCCCTTCACGTCTCCGCAGACGAAGTTCGCTGTGTAACTCCTTAGAGCAACTCTTTTTGGAAAGCAGAGTCCCTATTTCTGTACAGTTTGAGGTTAGATGTTTCATTTATAACAAGTGCAAAAGTCAACTAAGATAGAAGTGATATGTGAAGAAATCCTTTACAGCAAAACATATCCTGAATTCATATAAGGTCTGTTCATAATTGAGTCTCTTCTTGAGCTACTTTTCCAATACGTAGACAATGTGAAGACAGTGACGGCGTCCTTTCCTCCAGGTGTTTCACCTGTTACTACAAACTGTGAAAACAAAGAATTTTATACTTTTGCTAACGTTTGTGGTTTTAAACAGTTCTTTTCATTCTAATCGGTTCTCTCCCCTCTAATTTCTACTAAAGCTGTAAATACATTTAGAAATTATATTTGTAAATACAGCATATGAAGACAAGTTAATTTTTTTGGTCAGTGGAAAGCCTCCCAGTTGGCTCTGCCTTGGCAGTTTTGTTTTTTTTGTTTGTGTGTGTGTGTGTGTGTGTGTGTGCGCGCATGCCTGCCTCGTGTGTGTGTGTGTGTGTGCGTGTGTGTGTGTGTACATGCGCGCGCATGCGTGCGTGGGTGCGTGTGCGCGTGCCTGGTGTTTAACAGCAGAAAGGATACTGTCGGTTCACTGTTAAGCAGAATATACTGTAGAACTAAATTGATGATTTTCCAGCTTCCAGAGCATGAGTAGATGTCTTCTCATGATAGCATTTATAACCAAGTCTTTGTTTTTCCCTTAGCCCAGACCATAGGCCTGCATATCTTTGTGTGTGGTTTTGTTTTTACTTTTGTTTTTCCAGCCTAGACTCTAGGAAGAACTTGCAGGAACACAAAACAAGGGCTGGGGCCGGGTGGAGGGCGGGGAGGGAGGGTGGGAATCATCCACGTGAATGAGCTTTACTTTAAAGAAATCAATGTATTTTATTTTAACAACTTTTTCTATTAGTTACTGTGATTTTTGTTGTTGTCTTTGTTATTGTTAAATTCTGTAATGGTTTCCTGTGAAGCCTCCACTGAAAGGGACTCAAATATGCAACACCTAAACTATTTTCCAAGGGCACACGCCCCTTGAATGGTGCTTCTAGACTGGTCAGGGTTATTTATTAAATTTTATATATGAAAGTATTGGGGAATTATGTAAATTCTTTATATGAAACTATCTAGTTCATAAATCATAGATTTCGTATTACTCAGTGCAACTGAACTGAACGTTCATGAGAGTCATTCACATTGTTCCGAATTTGTAATGGTTGTCACACGCCACATATGTCTTCTTCAGTAAGTGCCAGAGTGTCTCCACTGTTTCTGCCCGGTGCTCGACCTCTCGGCCCGGAAGAGGACCTTGTTTTCCCCGGTTCCCCTCTGGGCCTGGCACACACAGGGCTCCCGTAGTTCTTGGTCAATCCCGGAGTGAGCCCTGCCGCAGACGCAGTAACCAGACCTCTTGCTGCCCCTCAGTGACAAGTATGCTGTGAATTCAACCTTTGGACTTGCTGCCCAAGCCTTTGGTTGCTGCCCTGACTATAGTAAGAGGTAAACGTACCTGGTTTCTTTGAGAATGACCATTTTCCTAATGTGAAAACCATCTCTCTCACCACTTTTATTAGTAGGGCTAACACTTTTTTCCGTTATAAATGGTTGAGCAATTTGAATGACTTAACACAGTGTCATTATCTTGCAATATAAACTGGTAACCTCACAAGCCCACACTTCATCACCATATGAAGTATATGAAGCTAGCTAAGCGGATGCTGTATCTACTAGTAACTTGCCATTAAGGATTATTTTATAGCATGAATTTAAGACTATTTATTCAAATGATATTTTACTCTTGTATTCATTTTGTTTTAGATTTGTGACATGAATATTTCAGTGCTGCTTAATTTTGTTCTGAATTCTCGTTTCTTGCTTGTAAATGGCTTTTTTATGGTATAAAGTCAATGGAAATTGCTGTTTGTAAATAAAAATGCTGCTAGAGCAAATGTGCGGTGGCCTCCCTCTGTGTCTGCCCCTCGGGGCTTCCGTGAGCCCCACCGGCTCTGCAGACGTCTGCCTTGTCATCATTTCTGTAACTGCTGTTCTGAGAGGTGAGGATTTCATAAGAAGCTCTTGGGCCACTGTGGTGCTGGGAAGACGAGAAAGAAGCAGGTGTATTTCTGTATACCTCCCTCTTGTGAGGTGAAGAATGATTGTCAGGGGCCCCGTGTGCACCCAGTCTCCCCTAGAAAGAATCGCCGGTGACCCCCATCCCCACTCGCCTGCAGAAGCTCCCCCTCGGCTCCCTTGAGCTTGCCCCATTCACTCCCGCTGCAGAGTGGGGAGCTGCACGCGTCGTTTCCGCTGCCTCCAACCCGCTTCTCCCCGTTAGCCAGTCGATCGACTTCAGATTTCAGCTTCCCTCAGTCAGGGAGCGGGAGCGGCGTGCCTGCTGCCCTTCGGAGCACGCGTTCCAGCCGGCGACTGTGTATTGACGAGTAAGATGGTTCAGCTCATGCTTCTTCCTCCAGCCTGTAAGCTTCGTGACAGCGGGGACCCAGGACTGTCTCCGTGGCCCGTATAGCCTTAGCACAGGACCTGGCACCGCAGCAGCAGGGATTGAACGAATGAGCAAATGCGTGTATTCTGGGAGGTTCGAGCAGGGCGGCGTGGCTGGGAAACAGGGATTCAACTTGGCTCCTACACGCTGGAGCTAACTGGCTCCTCGCTCCTTACTGTGAAACAGGGTCTGCCCTCCCAGCAGAGCTCCTCTTCAGTCCGGTGGGCAGTGAGATGCCCCCCACCCCCGTGTAAAAGCTCCATGTAGGGGACCGGCTTCAGGGTCTAGCTGGGGGCGGTGGGGATGCCTGAGCCACTCAAAGGGGGTGTTG